AGATCCCTATAAACACGTAAAGGAATTCCATATGGTCTACTCAACTATGAGACCATAAAGAATATCAAAATATCAAATTAAGTTAAGAGCATTTCCTTTTTTACTAGATGGGGATGCTAAGGATTGGTTAAATGATCTCCTTGTGGGACCAATAAACTCATGTAACGAGAATAAAGCAAACATTCCTATTGAAGTACGTTCCTATTTCAAGAATCAAAAATATCAAAAAACAAATATATGGGATTTGGTAATTTAATGGACGAACTCTTTATGAGTATTGGGAGCGATTTAAGAAGTTATGTTCTACCTATCCATATCACAAGATTTTTGATTAACTATTGATAGTTTATTTCAATGAGGGTTTGCTCCTTATGGAGAAAAGTATGATAGATACGATAAGTAAAAGAGCATTGGTAGATAAAATGCCTAATATTGCTAGTGCTTTGATATCCAATATGGTTGCCAACGCATAGTAATTTAGTGCAAGGATTGATCACGCATCGAAAAAAGTCAATAAGGTATGCGTTTTAATTTTAGAGCAATAAATGTCATATTTGACTTCCTTAGTGAGATAGATAATAGTTGGTAATCTACAAGTGATTAAGGCTTATGGAATTTATGCTTCTACCAAACACCGGATAGATGTGTGCCTAACCCTACAAAAAAATATAATGAACATGTACATACGGATGAAATTTTTAAAGGTGGCCAACCTAAGCCATATGACCCTTATTCAAATACATACAATTTAGGATGGAGAGATCACCTTAACTTAAGGTATGGGGAGAATAAGCAAGGTGGAAAAAAATTTTATCAAAAAAAGAAAAGGTTACCCACCTAGATCTTTCTAACAACAAGCCTCACTACAAGTTGAAAACTCTCTCAAAGAAGCATTTAAGTCTCTTACATTGAGCACCAAACAATTCCAATAATAGATAAGATTGAGCATCCAAAACCCGGAGAGTTAAATAAGTCAAATATCAACTATTGTGAGTCGAGTTAGAGGCTCGAGTCGGTGGAAAATTACCATCCCAAATGATGATAAATCATATGAAAAATGTAAGAGCAATGACTTTGAGGAGTGGTGCCTAGATAGAATAACCAAACAAGAGGAAACCTGAATCATCAAAAGAAGAAAGAATAGAAATGAAGAAAGTGAAGAAAAGTGAAATCATTAACAAGGCAACACCAAGCCCTAAGGTGAGGTTAGAAAAACCTAAGAAGGAAGAATTAAAAAGGAAAAAGAGAAAGCGATCTTTGAGCTATTCAGCGAAAATAGAGGTAAACATACCTCTATTGGTGTTATAAAACAAGTGTCTAGATATGCCAAGTTCTTAAAGGACTTATGCATTAATAAATAAAAGCTAAACATAATAAAAAAGGTAAGAATGGGATAACATATGCTTATGGTTTTACAATGAAAAATCCCTCTCAAGTGCACGGATTCGGATATGTTCACTATACCATGTAAAATAAGAAGCAAGAAAATAGGTAAGGCTATGCTAGATTTAGGTGCATCAATCAATGGGATGCCTTATTCCATATATTCCGTATTGAGTCTAAAACCCTTAAAGCATACGAACATGATCATACAACTAGCTAATCACATAAACGTCTATCCCGAAGGAGCGTTGGATGATGTTATTATACAAGTGAACTAATTTATGTTCTTAGTGGATTTTTATGCCTTGAAAATGGGAGACGAATCTCCCTATAACCTTGCATCTCTCTTATTAGGGATGTTGTTCCTAAAAATGATAAGAAAAAATATAAACATCCACGAAGGAGCTTTCACCATGGAGTTTAATGGTAAGGTGAATCGATTTAACTTCCTCGAAAAGGAGAATCCCGAGATGCAAGGAAGCTCGATATCAAATTGAAATTGAACGATCCCCATTAATAGGAAGAGGTAAAGTTGAGCCAATGATATTAAACAAAAACACTTATTAAAAGGCAACCCAATGATTTATGTAAATTTCATGTTTAATTTTAATTTTTAGTTAATGCTTGATTTCATGTTTAATGTTGACCTACACTTGACATGATTGAAAGAATGTACAACATAGGTAATTAAGTAGATGAATTTAGAGGAATTTACAAGGAGCAAGAAAAGACACACGATTAATGCTAAATGCACACGGTTTGAAGAAGAAAGCCACGTGCCGTGTGCTCAGAAAGAAGGTGAAAATAGAACTAGAAGAAGAGACACACAAGCAAAATCAAAAGCCATACAATTTATGTGTAATTTTACGTGGCCGTGTGGGATGTAATGAGAAGTGTGACATAAACGGAATGGGAAGCCATACGATTTGCATAAAAGAGCACATGAACATACGAGTTTTGAAGGAAAATTATTATATGAGTAAAAGAGGATGCATACGGTTAGTGAAGAAAGTTACATGGACGTGTGTAATTAGAAACGTTACACTTTGGTTGGGGAAGAGAAAGAGGCATATGGGTAAAAGAAAAGCCACATGGTTTATACACAACTTTATATGGCCATATGCTAATATCCGAGCCAAAAGTCACATGATTTGTCCCTTGTAAAGATCTACCCTATATAAACAAAACCCTAAATCATGTGACTTCATATTCTCCAAAATTCTCACTTGTGCTCGCCAACCGTCTTCGCCATCACTCTTCTTTCATCTTTCAAATCTACAAAACCACCATTTATAACCAACCACAAAATCGCAACCCTATAAACAACACTAACATAAAACACTCCATCAAAAGAAAGGATGATTTAAGCCTCTTTCCTTATGGGTTTGACCCTTACTTGCCTTAATTACATTATTATGTATAAACCTACCTAATATAAATTACTAATTTATCAATGTAATTGATTGATAGTACAATATGTCATCAAATTTTGGCACGTTGTTAGGAAAATTACTATTTTATGAATGCATAATTAGCATGATTTTTATGCTCTAAGTACATTGAACTTTCTAGTAATTATTGTATAATATTATGTTGCTTAAGAACAAGATGAAGATTTTGAGTTTTGTAGGAAAAACAATGAATCGAAGCAAAGATGCTCTAAACCAAAGCAAGGAAGAGAGAAGGGACCAAAAGAGGCTTAAAAGAGTCACATGGTCATGTGACTTAAAGAGGAAATCATGTGGAATCTCAAGCATAACAAGGCACTCCGGCGGAATGAAAACCCATATGATTTGTGTGCAATTTTACATAATCATATGCGATGTAATGAGAAATTTCACTTAGGCAAAATGGGAAGCCATATGGTTTGCATTAAAGAGCACACGAGTTGTGTGATTTTGAAGGAAAATTATCACATAGGTAGAATAGGATACACATGGTTTACGAAGAAAGTTGTCACTGTGTGGAATTCAAAATGTTATATTAGTTGGGGAAGAGAAAGGCACATGGACAGAAGAAAAGCCACATGCTTTGTACATAACTTTACACAATCATGTGCCAAAAGTCACATGATTTATCCCTTATAAAAACCTACCCTATATAAGCCAAACCCTAAATCGTGTGACTTCTTCTTCTCCAAAATTCTCACTTGTGCCACCAACCTTTTTCTCCATCTTCTCTTTCTTTCATCTTTCGGATCTATAAAATCATTATTCTAAACCAGTCATAAAATCACAACCCTACAAACCACACTACCATAAAACACTTCATCAAACACTCCGTCATAAAAAAAGCCTACCAAAGAACCCCTTCTTTTCCACTATGGAAATAAAACTCTCAAAGCTTTTCCATAGAGAAACATGGACACCTCAAGAGACCAAAGAAAGCAAATGGTAACACAACAAGAGAAGCGCACTCATTAAATGAAACTAGCTAGAGGGGAAGGTTGCCCCTTAAGATCCTACCCAAAGGTGGAATTTAAAAATGAAGATCAAGAAGCACATTATAATATGCTAAAAGAAGGAAAGGTGATTGCAAACATGTATGTCGATGTAGAAGCCTTAGAAGTTGTGGGTTTATTAGGAGAGGTGAAGGAGATTTTAGAAGTAATTGAGTGGTAAATCTATTAAAAATGGATGTTTCTTCTTATAAAAATATTAACATGGGAGTTCTTGAGTTCATTTCGGATGAAAGAAAGGAGGGATGAGGAGCATCAATCGGGCTATGACCATTTTATGTTTTGAGTAGCAAATCGAAGCATAATGCGAGGGTTACTAAGGTAACAGATTATTTTGATTAACCGTATGAGGGTGTGAAGTTACCACTTATGGGTTTTGAGAGACCCTTCTAGAGGAAAATTATGGGTTCACCACAATAGGTTTATAATTCATCCCAATCGAAAGCATCTATAATCATAAACCTAGTATATTGTTATATATATAAGGTGTTGTCATTGACATTATGTGGGAGAGAAAATAGTAATAGTGTGGTGAACGAGATGAAATTAGCCATCATGTTCTTCATACATCAAAAGATGAAGGTAGACTTTACGTATATTTTGGCGAATTGATTCTTAGCGATTAAGAAATCAATCGATAGAGGAATCATTATATGTGAGTTCATCACCCACATTATGGAGAAAAAGGGTATTTCATCAACACATCACAAACCTTACACTAGCAAGAGGATTTAAGCGACTTTACCTTTGAAAAGCTAACCAAATTTAGGTTACTTAGAGAATAGAGAAAAAAACTACCTACATCGGTCGAATAAGAGACAATGAAGGGAAGTCGTAGGTGATGTCGAGGATGATAACAATGTTAAAGCAAACCAAGAGGCTCAACCCATTTTTGAAACAAGAGCCTTAAATGGATATACAAAAAAAGTGAAGCAATTGGTGTCATGGCTAGGAATGGCAAACCGACCTACCTCGTTAAGGCCCCACCTCGCCCGTTTAGGGTGGGGATTCCTCGCTTTGAATGGGGAGCGGGGCGAGGCACCCTACCCCATTTTTGTTTTCAAGTCGGGATGAGGTGGGGTGGTTTTGGCAGCCCCGCCTCATTTTCCATACTCCATACTTATCTAGTTAGGGTTAGGATTTAATTTAGCTATTTGAGTCACTTGACAAATGATCGCCATAGACTCATAGTGTCGTCTAGTCCGAGTGGTCCTCTACTCCTCTTTGTTTTTCTCACCGTACGGTGGTCCTCTCAACCTCTTATTGGTGACCGTCGTCTATCGACCACCACGAGCCACGAGTACACCTATAACCGCGATGCCCACCACTACGGCCCAATAGCCCACTATGACGTCATTTCGCCACTCGCCAACCACCATAACCCTCCGTCGGCGTCACCCATCGAACACCGGCCACTAACCATCGACCCATCGAGTAATTATATATATTTGTTCAGCACTTCGACTCCTCTATAAAAATTATTAATCCCTTTTTTCCACCACATATATGTGAATCTCTACTCTCTAGCCAATCCAATATGTGATCCGATGGCCGATGCATGATTTAGCTCGATTCTTCAATGGTTATTTCGCTCGACACGAAATGACAGAATGGAATAGGTGTGTAAAAGAGAGCTTAGAGAGGACAAAGCTCGTAGACTTAATTTCTTGAAAATGTGTTTTAGTACCATGTTATATCATTGTTTTTTCTTTTTTTTTGGATGAAAATGGTCATTTGGCTCTTAGTTTCTTGATAATGTGCTTAAAATTTCAAATTTATGTTTGGTTCTACTTTGTAATTGAACTTGGCCACTTGAGTGATTTTAATTTTTAAGTAAGCACTCCGTGTGTTTCCTTCACTGGAGCGCCCGTCGGCTCGCAAGCGTTGCGTGCACTTGGAACCCCGAGTGAGCCGAAGGCCCTCCAAATGTAAAAGTTCTACTTGAGGTCTTTTTTTAAAAAAAAACTATTGATTACCTCTAATCTTCTCATAATTTTATACTCGATTAACAAAAGAATATTTATGTTTTCAAAGGGAACTTTTGTTTTATTGTGGAAATTTAATCTTTTTATAACGAGTGATTTTTAAACTATTGTATATTTTCGGAAAATGTCAAGCCATGGAGATGGAGGCGGCTCTCATCACTCTACAAACTACGCACCAATACATCCGAATTTCACTTCATCTACTCCAGTTATCGAATCAATTTCATCTCGCACAACCTAATATGGATGAACTTCAAAGTGATTCAAATCTTCCTTCTAAAAGGCGATATAGTTTTATCTAGAATCATTTTACAAGGAAAACTCGTGAATGGTGAAGAAAAGGCGAATGCAATTATTGTAAGAAGCAACTTGGAGGCAAGTCAAAGAATGGTACCAAACATTTGCATGCCACTTCAACGGATGCCCAAGAAAGACGATTACTGGATATAAGACAGAAAGTTTTAACTTCTAATTTAATTGGTGATGTAATGTCTAATTCTTTTAATCAAGAGATAGGAAGAAAAGATCTTGTTTCTATTATCATAATGCATGAATACTCACTCTCTATGGTTGATCATATCGACTTCGGGAAGCTTACAAGTATTCTTCAACCATTATTCAAATATCCAAGTAGAAATACGGTAAAACATGATGTCTTCAAGATATATGACAATGAGAGAGCCAAAGTGAGGAGTTTTTGAAAAACTCAAAAGTAGAATTGCCATCACTACTGATTTATGGACGAGCAAGCAATAAAAAAAAGGATTCATGGCAATTACGACTCACTATATTGATGGTTCTTGGATGTTACGAAGTTGCTTATTGAGGTACTTTTCATTTCTTATTAACTTAATGATGCTTGTTTAATTGTTTTAGTTGAATATTTTTAGTTTATAACTAATTTATAATTTGCTTTAGGCTTATGTATGTTCCTTGTCCACATACAAGCATTGTCCTTGCAACTCGCTTTAATTGATTGTTTGATGGATTGGAATGTTGATGGAAAATTATCCATTATTACAATGGATAATTGTTCCATAAATGATTCTATGATTAAGCATATGAGGGATAAGTTAAAATCTATAGATTTGTTGAATTCTAGTTCTTTGTTATATATACGATGTTGTGCTTATATCATCAACTTAATAGTGAAAGATGGGTTGGATGTCATTAAGGAAGGGGTTAAGCGAATTAGAGATAGTGTAGCCTTTTGGACGGTAACTCCTAAAAGAGTTGAGAAGTTTAAGGATGCTGCCGACTTCCTTCTCATTCCTATCATGAAGAAATTGGTTTTAGATTGTCCAACTAGATGAAATTCTACTTATTTGATGCTTGAAATTGCTTTGTTATATAAGGATTTTTTTTTCTAGGTTGAAGCATCGTGAACCTCATTATAAAGTTGCACCTACCGATAGTGATTGGGAATTTACAAAGGAAATGTATGGGAGATTGAAGATCTTTTACTGTATTACTAAATTATTTTCGGGAACTAGATAACCCACATCTAATTTGTTTTTCACTAAAATTTATGAAATTAAGATTGCATTAACTCGGGGCTCACTTGTCCTAATCAAATGGTTAGTGAAATGGCAGAAAGTATGTTAATCAAGTTCAATAAGTATTGGAGTGTGATTCATGAAATATTGGGAGTAGTCTGCAGTTTTAGATCCTAGGTACAAAATGGATTCACTAGAGTTCTATTTTGAGAAAAATTATGGGAGTGAGGCTATGGTTCAAGTTAAGAATATAAGGAAACTTTGTTATAGTTTGGTAGCTGAGTACCAAAAAATATGAAGGTGGATGAAGGATGTGGTAGCTCTCTTCCGGATGATTCTTCAACGAGTTTTGGAGGATATGGAATCCGAGTTTAACTTGTATGTTTCAAGGAAGAAGGCTAAGGTTACTCTTATCAAGACAGAACTAGATTACTACTTAGATGAGGGTGTTATTCCAAGAAACAAAGATTTTGATATTCTAAAGTGATGGAAAGTAAATAGGATGAAGTACCCTACTTTGATGGCAATTGCTAAGGATGTGTTGGCAATTCTTGCATCAACCATTGCTTCAGAATCAACTTTTAGTGCTTGGTGGTAGGCTAGTAAGTTCACATCGAAAGTAGACTTCATCCAAGACAATGGAAGCATTAATGTGTGCTCAAAATTGGTTGTGGGCAGCTGAAACTAAAGATAATATACTAATTACTAAAAATATTTTTTTATTATTAATTTTTTATAATTTTTACATATGTTGTTTATGTTTATTATATTTGTTTCTAGGTGGAACTCCATTTGTTTGAGATGGTTATTGTACTATGTATGAGGAGCATTCGGAAGAAGATAAAGGTATAAAATAATATGTCAAAGTTTAAATGATAGCATGAAAAAATTTTATGATGACGCATTCACTTTTAATTTAATGAATATAGGATCTACGATAATCAATGATTACGTTGAAGTGCAATATGATGTTTAAACTTTGATAATCTGTGAGTAGTAAAGCCATGCAAGGATTTATTTTTTTAATTATATTTGTGATATTAACGATTGTGATATTTTATTACTTTAATTAAATATGTTATTTATTCAATTAAAAAGAATTTAATATATTATGAATTATGTAGTAAACTTGTAGTTGAATATGATGCTAAATGATGTTTTTTTTTAATTTGTATTTTTTTATATGAGTTATAATTTTTTTGCTATAGTTTTAAATTTTATAGTAGAATGGGTGAGGCGGGGTGGGGCGGGGAATTAAACGGGGCACGATAAGGGTGAAACGAGGCAAACACAAAATGTTAAGCGGGGCCCCGATTCCCCACGGGATCCCCGTCCCCGTTTGGGGCGGGGATGGTATATGAAGTAGCACCCCAAACGGGGTATGGGGCGGAGATGGGGCAACAATTGCTAAGGGAAAGGTAGGAGGGATGGCCATCCCCGTCCCCACCTCGCCCCATTGCCATCCCTAGTCATGGCTGGTTGATTTCTAAATGAATGTAAATAGCCATTTCAACATGTTGATTGAGTAGGTGCGGACATTACACAACAATGCCAACGAGTTAATTTGATAATCTAAGTGAGCAATTTCGGATGATGAACAACAATATTGTGCATGAATTTCAAGTGGTCAACACCCAACTTGGCCATCTCTACACCATTTTTACCACACAATTTCCATTATCGCCACTATAACCTCCATACTAAAGGAGGCCATCTAGTTTACTTTCGATCCCTACTTTTACTTGTTTTGTGTTCATTTCTACTATGTTTAATTATACGCACATTGAGGATAATATACGATTCAAGTGTAGGGGTACCTTTAGCACTTTGGTTTATTTGTTTTTTATTTTTATTTTGTGTAATTTGTGTCTTTATTCCGTACCGTTATAAACAAATATGAAAGAAATGACATGTTGAGTATAATACTCTTCTTGATTGATATTTAATGTTGAATTTTATAAAATTTGATGAGATGAATGAAAGTGTTGTGGGTATTATTGTTATAGAAGTGCATGCATACTAGAGAGCTTTATGTGTCTTCATAATGGAACATAATTTAGATAGTGATACTTGGTTTTGAAAGAAAAACAAACCCTTTGAAAACTAGACCTAAACACGATTTAAATAAATGAGATTTTCTAATGTTTGTTTGAAAAAGAAATCTAAAAAGCATTCCTTAGGAAAAAAAATGACCTAAGTAATTAAAGATTCTACCCCAATTATTTGAGTTGATTAGTAACTAGGAGTATTGATTATAAATGCTTACTTTTACATCAAACAGACAATTCAAATTATGAGTATACAAAGCACTTTAGGTTGATAACTTGTTATGTAACCGGTTACCTTCATCACAAATATCGATAGTTACGTAAAAACAAGTGACCACTTAAGGAAAAGCTATTACGGCCTTGAAACAAAAAGGAAATTAGGATAGTTAAAATAAAAAATTTTAATTAAAGAAAATCTCTATTTATTGCCTTACTTGTAGTGGTGAAAATGGGATAAAAGTAGAGTTAGTACTACATGCATGAATTATGTTTAGTTGTAAAGATGCATAAATCAATTTAGAGAGATATATTGATATGATGATAATATCTTGAACACGATTGAGTTAGGCTGTTGAATTTTGTTGAATTCTAAATTGAGCATCAATGTTTGAAGAACAATCATACTAGTAAGACATTTGTTTGAATGATTTTATAGGTTTTTTTATCTTAAAACCCTCGGGAGACACAACTCATCCACTAAAGGTAATCTAGGAGTTTAAAGACTTGTTACATATGCTAAATACAACCATGATTCCTATAAAAATGAGTAAGGTTTTATTTTATTTATTTTGCTCAAGGAATAGCAAAGTTTAAGTGTGAAGGTATTTGATAAGTGTATAATTAGCATGATTTTTATGCTCTAATACATTGAACTTTATAATAATTATTGTATAATATTATGTTGTTTAAGAATAAGATGATGATTTTGGGTTTTGTAGAAAAAATGATGAATTGAAGAAGGAAAGCTCGAAATAAAAGCAAGGAATGTAGAAAGTACCAAAAGAGGCTTAAAAGAGTCATATGGTTGTGTGACTTAAAGAAGGAAACCATGTAGAATCTCAAACATAGAAAGCCATATGAGTAGAAACATTTCTAAATAGTTTGTGGACAATTCTACACTATTGTGTGACATTGAAAAAGAAGCTCCACATGGGTAATGAGTTATTTACACGATTTGTAATACAAAACCACATGCTTGTGTGGCAAAGGAGAAGAAGATCTATATGGTAGAAGCTTAGCTATATGGTTTGTAAACAAATCTATAAAGTCGTGTTTCATCTAATCTCCAAGATTCTAAGTCGTGTGATATCAAGTAGTAAACTATGTAACTTTGTACATCAAGCTATGTGACAAGATAATACTAACTTAAAAAGTGATGTAACCCTATTTTTTAGTATAA